CAAAGAAGAGAAAACAGAGAAGTGCTGTTTTTTAAGGCTACAGACAATACCTTCTTTGAATTGGGAATTATACTACTTTCACTTGACTAGTAGGCAAAGAGATAGGAGAAATTTGGGTCTCTTGGCTTACAAAAATTGTGAGGAAGTAAGTGAATTGCTGGAAAGCATTAAGTAGTAGAAGAATCATGAAGAAGATGCTTTATTCATTCATATTCTTCATTCTTGTTAAAGGTACTTATTTCACCTCCGCATTCACCAGTAAAAAATGGATAGATTGCTTCCTCAGGCCTCTGATGTTTGGCAGTGCAATTTAACTGATCCTTAACCATTTCTGCTTCTAGTAGTAATGAGTATACATGCTAGCTCATATCTCTTGACTGCCCTTCACGTTTCTACTTACACAGTCAGGCTTCTTTGTTAGTATGCTCCAGAAGCATTTAAAAAAAAAAACCACAACATTTTTTCTCTCATCAGAAAGATGAAGAATATTTAAATAAGCTCCAAATTATTTTTCAACAGCAGACTATTTAGAACATGTGAGTAATTGCTGTTGATGATATCAGCAGCTGATCTACAAATACTGATAACATTGTCAACTCCTAAGGCAGAACATGGAACTAAATCCTTTGTGCTATATTTTGGGAGAGGCAGGGGCTTTTGAATTTGAGTCTTGACAGCAAAAGAAAAGGAAATTTTTTTTAGATACTTTTGTTTTAAAATTCATATTTAGAACAGAATTTTCTCATTTATTGTCTTGATTAGAACTTTGATCCTTTTTATATAAGCATTCCACTTCCTCTTTTAAAGGTGTGATTTTGAAATGTGACGTTATTGAACTAACAAGACACAGCAAATAAATTCTTAAGTTATTTTTGTACGTTTCCATATGTTCTTGCCACACCTGAACTAAAGTTCAGATGTTTAATGTAATACATTACTTGTACTGTGGGCAAAGTGGAAGACACTCATCAAGATTGAATCTTAAAACATTGTAGTATGTTGACACTAAAGTTTTAAGTCATCTTCAAGTTTGACTTTAAAACTTCCTACTGATAAGAAGCATGCAGGAAGTAAGACACAGAGTCTTTGAACTTCCTAGTGAAACTAGGGGTTGCTGGATGTGAAGATCTCCCTTTAGGATTTTGGTCACATTCTGTTGAGTTGATTGTTCCTTCCCCATTCAGTTTTTATATAGCAACTGAGGAAAAGACAGACATGCACAAAAGAAGGTAAGGAGAAACCTGAATACTGTTAGAGATGCACGGCAAATATATATAAAGCAGACGGGAGCAAGGCCTTCTCTTATAGGAATTATGAGAGATGAAAGAAAAGGCAGAAGATGGAGGAAACAGGGGGCACTGGGACTTTCTGCAAAGGTGGAGAACAGGAGAAAAAAAGAAACTACTGAAAATAGACGCATACAAAAAAAACCAAACTGGATCTTGTGATTCTTACTAAATTGTGCCTGAATGATAGTTACATAAGCTTTTTTTTTGCACACCCCACCCCATCTCTTGGTCATACCTTAAGGGTACAGTTTTTCATCAGAGTAGTAGTTGACAGTTGCTTCCAGAGCTGTGCAAAGAGGCATACAAATATCAATGATGGTCATGTAACTGTACTGCCTGAATCTTCCCTGTAGCTGCTGCACGGTTTTGTTAGATCCTCTTACCATTAAATAGTCTTTTTAGTAATTTGACCTGAAAATGTTAGTGAATCTACAAATACCATTATGATTTAGGCTGGCATTATGCGGTTCTTTTGCGTGATTAAAATATTTTTAAATAAAGATACAGTGAGCTGAAATGCCTTGTATTTTGTCCAAGTCCAAAGCTTATGAAGCTTGTGTGTTAAAATTTTACAAGTAGTAAGGAATGCTAAAAAGAAGCTTGTGTTTCACAAATAAACTTTGAAAGTGCCACAAAAATAACTTGCCTTTTAATTCTGTCAGGATTCCCACATTCCATTTGTATTCTGAATTTTTATTATTGCAGGGTGATTTCTTTCCCATTGAAGAAAATCATCACAGATGTCATTACAAATTTTTAATATCTAACTTGTTTTCCTGGCTATTGTAATAGGTTTGAAGACACGGTTAGTCTGAGACAGCCACCTGTGGCTGAATAACTGCTGGTTAACCACTCTGAAGTCACTTTCTAACAAAATTATTGGGGAGACTCTTATAGCAGATACCTCACATAGTGGCAGTCACCTAAAACTCCTTTGGAAGGTCTTTACCATGCACGTTGTTTTCTTTTAAATGTATGGTACCTTCTATGCAATTGATACCATTGGTTTTCATTATCTTAAGGGATGTTTTGATTGGTGGACATCCAAAAACCAAAACTAGATTTTTTTTTTTTCATGTTCAGGCAAATTATTGTGTGTTTATAAGGGAGGTCAGAGGAGGTGATTAATAGTCCCGTGCTCTGCTTTAGCCTTTTAAAGGCCAGTGAGGTGCTTGCGGAGTTACTGCCTCTAAGGTTGTCAGATGATAAGTTTACATTTAATAGACAGTGATATGTTTTTGATTCTGCTAACAAAGTAGTAAGTGGTAGAAAGAGGATTTTGTGCTGTTACATACTTGCCTTATTCCTATCTTATTTTTATATAATTTGTTTAAGAATACATTAAATATTTTAGTGCAGTAAAAGCATGGGAAATAACAATGTTATACAGAGAGTTAGAATCAAGACTTTGTGTGATGTGAAATACATTGCAAAGTCCATAGAAATTAATCTTTCTTAGCAAGTTTATACTATTTGTGTACGAAAATGAAGCTGTAAAAAGAACTAATTTAAACACCAAATTCTTTATGCTTTCTGAAGTCTGTGCAAAGTATGAAACAAATTAATGGGCATCTCAAGAAATTAATTTAGTTCTGAAGTGAGTATTACATTCAAGTATATTTACTTAATTATCATTAACCTTTAATTCCTGAGCTGTCCCTCATAAGCTTTCATAGGTATCGAGAGTACCTTCTGTTCCCTTTGCAGTGAATGTAACCCTTGGCTTCCCTACAAAGACTTTGGTCAAATTGTGGATTGCATTAAATAAATTAATACAGTATCAAAACAAGAACTCCTGTGCTGCTGTGTGCTACTTACGGCCATTATTCTTACAGCTTTAGGTTTTTTATGCACCCTAGGCTCCCCCGGAACTTGCACTCCTTATTCGGTTTGTTAGGTGCTGCAGGCACCCCGGGGGCCTTGGGGCCAAGTTGAAGTCCAGTTTGCCATGGAGTGTGCAGGGTCTGTCTTGTAACCGGTGAAGGAGTTTGCACTGTCTGAAAGTTGATTTTGTAGAGAGGTATGCTGTCATTGCTGCTTCTGATCAACTGCTTCCCATGTGATCATCCACTGACGGCCATTTAAAAATGTCACTTTCTGTAGTATTGAGCTTCACTTCTGTAGTATTGAGGCTTCGCTGCCAACAGGCCTGCATTTTGTGATGACAGGAACTGCTATAGGCTAACAATGTTGTGTGGTTAATTCGTTACTTCTCTAACAGCGTAAATGCTGGCTGTCTTTGAACGGCAATATCAATAGCAGTTTCACTGCGAATGCCATTACTGTCCATGTAGCTGGCACTGCTTCTAAAATGTGTGTTTAGATGTCACTTTGTTAGCTTGATTCTGTTCTTTAAAGAAAAAGTCTGCACTGAAAAAAAAAAAATTAATTTATCTACTTAAGCTGTGGCAGCATTTCATAGTAAATCTTCCATTGTATTATTTGAGGATATCTGTTAAACGGGAGAAGGTCATTTTATGTTCTTAACTGTGTTTGGATAAATGGTTATTATCAAACTTTAATGCATTCTGCTTTTATTAGAATCTTTAGGTAAAGGATATGCTGTTGCATGTACTCAAGAAGGAGAAGAGAAAAAGCAAGCTTCTGGTTCATCTGGCACTAGAGGAGCTAGAAGGAAATCAGTTAATACTACTCCTAGAAGAAGATCTGCACGAAACAGCAAAAATGAGACTCTGGGTCAATCTCAGAGTTCACCTCGGTCAAGCAGTTCCGCGTGCGGTGCCCCTGATGGCAATAACCCATCTCTGAATAAATCTCCTTCGGAATCAGAGAAGGCTCCTCCAAAACGAAAGTCTAAAAGAATAGTTAAACAACAAACACCTGTGGTTAAAAAGAAACTGAGAAGTTCTGCACGTTCTGAAAAACCGCGCAGTGATTCAGTGGAAGATGATGACGTTGCTGAGTCTGAAGCAGTTCTAACATTAGATAAAGACCAGCAGTCAGGTAACGAAAGCAATAATGCAAGCCTTCCACAGAAAAATAATGCAGAAACAGAATCTGCTAATGGATTGGAAAGCTGTAGTGAACATGCAGAAATTGAGGGAACTACAAGAGAATGTGACAAAGATGAAGATACTCCAGGCAATGCGGATGTAAGTTTTTCTCTCCAAGAACCTCCAGTACTAACTTCAGGAGGTGAAAGTCAGGAATTTGAAGTAAAAGGTGTTACTGAAAAAAATATAGAACTTGAGAATCAGGACATCTGTGAAAATACTCTTGAGCAAATGGAAACAGCAGCTAGTCCCAGAGATGAAGTATGTGACCATGCAACTTTTGAAAAAGTAGATCGGACATTGTGTAGTCCTCAAAATGAATTGATGGAGAACGTAGAGACTTTGACAAAAATAGATCAACCCGCGGCTAGTCCAGAAAATGAACTGTTGGAATATCCAGAACCTCTGGGAAAAGATCAGCCATTAGAGAGCCCCAGAAGTAAATTGCCTGAGCATCCAGAAGCCATAGAAATAGATGATTCTGAGGCTGAAGGAAAAACAGTACTAGACTGTGCAAGTACAAATACTCAAAACTTAAAAACTGTTCAAGATGAAGAACCAGATACATTAATACACAATATTTCTGTGGACAGTACGTCAGAACAATCCTTAAAAGAGAATGCCATGCCAGAAAGTGAAGAGGGTAGAACTTCAGAGTCACCCCAGGTAAATGCCGAACATAAACATTTCGGTGAAGATAACAATGAAATGATACCAATGGATTGTGACTCATTTTGCAGTGACCAGAACGAACCTCAGATTGAGCAGTTACCACCGGTTGAAAGTACAGAGCAAGGAGAAGTGAACTCCTTACAGTGTGATGCGGGAAACTGTACATCAGTTTCAGGACTTTCTGATGAAAAAGATGAAACTATTCCTCAAGAAAGAGAGTGCCAGTCGGAACTCAAAAAAGATAAAAAGACTCGAACGAGAAGGTCTAGGTTTCACTCTCCATCAACAACTTGGTCTCCTTCTAGGAGAGAGGGCAGGAAATCTCAATCACCATCCCCTAAAAGGGAGATGACCAGAGACAGGAGCTCACGATCACCCAAGAAGGAAATTGTGAGGGAGGGAAGGAGATCTTTATCTCATTCTCCGAAGAGAGAGACACTCAAAGATGAGAAAAAAACACCATCTCGATCTCCCAAAAGGGAAACTGTCAGGGAAAGCAGGAGATCATCTTCTCGGTCAAGAACTAAGGATTCGTCTCCGAGGCAAAAATCTAGATCTCGAAGCAGTGATAGAGATAGTCAAAGAAGAGATCGTGACAGAGAAAGAAGAAATAGGAGGTGGTCTAGGTCACGGTCACGATCTAGGTCAAGATCACGATCTAGGACAAGAAATAAAAGTTCTTCATTCTCTAGAAATGAGAGGGACAGTCATTCACCTCGATGGAAAGAGAGATGGGCAAATGACAGCTGGAGGAATCCCAGAGGAAATGATCGATACAGAAGTGATCAAGAGAAACAGAGTGAAAGTCTTAAAAAAGAGAAGGACAATACAGAAAAAACCAATGATGATCAATGTTCTTCAGACAAGCGGAGGAATGATTGTCCAGACTGGGTAATGGAAAGGATAAACTCCATTCCTGAAGTCAGGAACAGAGAGAGAGATAAACCACATTGGGAAGACGGCAGGCATGACAATTCAGGACACTCTTGGAATAAAAACTTTGGTTCAGGTTGGATTCCGAATCGAGGGAGAGGTCAGCGTGGCCGAGGTGGGCGTGGAAGAGGTGGTTTCATGTATGGAGACCAGAGTGAAAATCACTGGCAAAACAGAAAACCTCTCTCAGGGAACTCAAATGGTTCTGGGAATGAAACTTCAAGGTTCCCAGAACATCAGCCATACAAGCGTAAGAATGAACAAGATTATTCTTTCGATACGCCTGCTGACAGATCTGGGTGGACATCTGCATCCAGCTGGGCTGTAAGAAAGACTTTACCTGCTGATGTGCAGAATTATTACTCAAGAAGAGGACGCAATTCATCAAGCCCACAGTCTGGATGGGGAATGAGACAAGAAGAGGAGACACCTGAACAAGGTATTCATCGTTTTGAAACATAAAAGCTTAGTCACAGCTGCAGTGGCCGAGTAAAATCCTAGTCACATTGACCTATCTCGAGTTGAATTAGTTCTTCAAAATAATTCAGGGTGAATCTATAGTCTTTTTGCAATATGGAGGTTTGTAGGTGTGGAGTTTGGGGATTTCTTGTGTTTTGCTTAAAGTTAGACATAATTTGAGGGGTATGCATCTGAGGAGTGCTACTTAAGTAAATCGATCTGGTTGAAGAGAAGGCATATCCTCTTCATGGTTACTTTTAGCATCTGCACACCTTCTAAAAAGTAATTTTTTTTCAAGGAGATTTGCATTTGCCTGTGCAGACCCACACAGTAGACACTAGAGATGACAGATTATTAAATTGACATTTATCTTGCTTCTAAGTAAGCATGTTCCTCTTTATACGCTTAAAAAAATCTAGGGAGATTTATAAATGCAAAAATGGTACTTTTACTGTACTTCAGCATTAAATTTCCTCTAAAGCCTCAGTAGAAGTCTAATATTTTTTAGTATTTTATATCTGAAAGGTAACTGCCCTGACGGAAACAAACTTTTTGGTAGAAAGTGAGTTAACTGTGGATGTGATTGATTCTGAATAGCTAAGAAGTCATCCACAGATTATTAATGCTCTGAAGTAAAAGGTAGATGTGAATTGTACTTAAAAACGTAAAATCCAGTTCTGAAGGCAACCACACTCGCACTTTCCCATTGTCTCCTTGTTTTTGTCTTCCATTTGTATCCATTTTCATCCTATATGCCAGCAGTTTTCTCCCTCTTTTCAGAGACGACGGCATCAGTGGCTTCTTAAGTTTTGCGACAACTTTGCCAACCTTCAGTCTGCTGCAGGCAAAATTTATCAGACCTTTAATTGAAAGTATTGTGTGATTTGCAGACTTCATTTCACATAGTTCAGGAACAATCACACTGTTACGTTCATTTTTGGAACGTGAATTCAGCTGAGAATAGTACAGTGATCTCTCAGAACTGGATAAAACAGGCTAGGTTGGAATCATGGCATGGTCCTGGGCGAAACGGTCCTGAGCAACCGCCTTTTGCTGACCCTGCTTGAGCAGGGGGGTTGGACTAGATGGTCTTGATAGGTCCCTTCCAACCTCAGTGATTCTGTTATCCCGTGATCTTTAAAAAAGGTGATTTGGGGTGAAGCATAAGTGTTTAAATCCTAATCCCTGTAAATGAGGTGACAGGGTTCCTCAAGGAAGGGATTCTAAGGGAAGGACATCTAAATTATAACCCATCAACCGTTTCTCAGAACCAATTTCTTGACTTTTGGAAGGTTCGCTGCTTGTATCTAGACTTTAACTTTTTGACTTCTGTTGAAGATAGAGTGTGAGGTCGTAATTTTTTAAAGAAATGCCTCCCCAAGAGGTTATTTTTACTTCTAGGCTTTACCTGTTGTACCATTACAGGGTTTTTGAACAACTCTTTCCGAATATGAACATCTTTGAAATTGGTTGAGGATGATTTATTGTTCAATGAGAAAAAAACAGCAGGGTATTTCTATAGTTACCAGAAATGGCTACAATGAGTGCGTGTGAATCGGGCAAAGGGGAGCAGAGCATTGCATACGTGATAATGTATGACTGACCTGCAATTGCAGAAGCTGGATAAATTAGGTTGTCTTCCGGCTTTTTGGGGGAGAATTACTGTTTCATTGCGATGAAATAATTTATTAGCTGTGCTATGGGAACAAGTAGAGAAAATAGAAATTCAAAATGCAGGCTTCCATAGTAGCCTGAACTTCTTAAACTCAGAAACTAGCATTTGGCTCTGTGATGTGTCTGGTGATGAGTGCTGTGTAATAATGTAATGCAATATTTTTAAAATACTCAGGTTATAGAAAGCTTTTTTGATATGCCATACTTCATGAAGAGTTTAGACACTTGGCTCCACTTTTGCTTTATAAAGTATGGATTTTCTACTTCATATACTGTCTGTTTTTTCTTTTGATAGATCCAAACCTCAAAGACCAAGGCAACCAGCAAAGTGATGGTTCTCAGTTACCAATAAATATGATGCAGCAACAAATGAATGTAATGCCACAAGTGAATGCACAGCACCAACCTATGAATATCTTTCCGTATCCAGTGGGTGTCCATCCTCCCATGATGAATATGCAACGAAATCCTTTCAACATCCACCCTCCGATGCCCATGCATCTCCCTACCGGAGTGCCTCTCATACAGGTAGCTGCTCCCACAAATTTGTCTCAGGGATTACCTCCGCCTCCACCTCCACCCCCACCATCTCAACAAGTCAACTACATTGCTTCACAGCAAGATGGAAAACAATTGCAGGTATGCTTTATCAGAAGCCATGACGAGAGCAGTATTGAAGTAATATCAATTAAGGGTTTCTTATATTGAATACCATAGTCTTGATAAATTGATACTTGCAGTTTCTTTCTCTCTTGCCTGTCGTCTTCCACCCCACACCAAATTTAAAGTGGAAGTATCCATAAGGATATGGGTTGTTTGGGGGCTATAGCTTTTAAGTAATAATACACAACACCATAACTGGGTTTTTGTGGTAACGAGGTGTACCAGTGGGTAATGGAACACTGAAAAACTTCATCAGTGTTGTCCATTACCTTTTTCTTAGAAGTGGCCCGTTTCCAAAACTAAGTTTTCCCCTTCAAAACCTAATTTTTAAGCTTTAGGAAATGCTTGAATCCCCTTTCAGCAGCGTGTAGGAAGTGACCTAAACCTCTTTGTTGCAGTTCTCATCCCATGGGGTGTATCAGCAGAGGAAAATTACCAAGTACTGCATGGCGCCTGTTTGTTCCACACTCCCATTCTCCAGCTGTCACTATCTCAGCAGCTTCCACACACACATGCATTTTCTATTCTGTTTAATCTCTTGAGCCTTTTTGTTAATAACTGCCAAGCTTTCTTTGGTACGTTTTACTTTTCCCTTCTTGCCTGATTCTCATGTTTTTGCATGCCCTGTTTGAGACCTAACTCCCACTTAATTTCTCCAGTTTCAAAAAGACTCTGTCGTGCTTGGGGCGGGTCAGACCATCTTTTTGTGCCTTTCAAGATACCTTAAAACAACCTTTGCGTATCTGAACTCCTCCTGTAGCCAGCTGTTCATATTAAGAGCTTTTATATCAGGGAAAGGAATATGAACAACTTCCAGGAGAAAGCATGGCCCTGCGAGGAGATGTAACGCTGCATCTGTGATGTATAAAGGGCTCTTCAGGGTTTGGCTGAGGTTTGTGCTTTTCTTTTGTTGCAGGCTGCCTGCACTAACCTAAAATTAGACAAGAGGGACAAGAGGGGCGGCGGCCAAACCTCCCCGCGTAGAAGAGCAGCCCCCAGGGAGCGCGAGCGACCCGGAGCGCGGCGAACAGGGCGGGCAAACAGGGCGTGGCGCGTCAGAAGGGCGTGGCGCGGCAGTTAGCGCGGCAGTTCGGGCAGGCAGGG